ACCTCACTATCCCCGTAGCGACTTAGTTCTGGAGAAAGGGCCATTCAAAACGTCTAGGCACCCTCAGAGTAGCACCTCTCCACACCTCCTACAAAAACACGAAACCACACCCTTCACGTTCTTTACGCAATAAAAAATAGTTAAATAGTATGATTAACAGAGCGTACCGCATTAATTAACTAATAAATATGGCGAATTTTTTCCTTGAAGGATGATATACACGGGGTGGGGGGTGGGTGGCTTACGACCATGGTGTAGAGGCGCGCGCTGTTGAAGCCGGTTCCTGGTGCGCCTTGGAGGTTTTGGGCCGCTCGGAACTCGGCTTCGAAGTCGGATTGCATCTTGGGAGAGTTGTCGGTGAAGAAGGCGCCGTAGTTGAAGCCTTGGTGGGCGGCGAGGGCGGAGGAGAAGGCGGCGGCTAGGGCCGCTAGGTTCAGAGTGAGTCGCATCGTAAAGGTGATGTTGTGAACTTTTTGAAGCGTGATACTGTAGAGTCGGTGCCTTCTTCGGGAAAGTATCGAGACGGTTATGGGGAACTTTGGAAGTTCCAGGCTATCACTTTGGGTATTGACCAGGCCGAGAAGAACAAAAGGGGAGGGAATGACTTTATATACAAAAGAATATTTGGCGGGCAAGCCCGAGTCAACCTCAGTCACGCCAGCATACTAGGGCCAAGTAGCATCAAAGGCCACGGGGGGTCAGGGAATTGTGGTCGTGCGAGTTTGAGTGTACAATGTCAGGAAACCGTGTGACGAACCTGACGGGAGAAACGAAGGGCGTTTGTGAGGGCCCATGACCAAGGGGACAACGAGCAGGTGCTCCAAGATGTTTTCATCTCATACTCAAGGTGGTTGAGAGAGCGAATCTTGGCGACTCACAATGAACACGACCTGCCACGCTGCCCTAGGCATGTGTTGAACAACCAAAGAGCAAAGGGAATTGCATTTGCGGTCGCGGTGATAACATCGAAAGAACCACAGAAGCAGATGATCGACTGTCTTTGTAGACGATACAGCATACATAAGACGCCATCTGATATCCAACGTAATACTGATAGAGCCCCTATGGTGGAACGAAACTGTATTTCTTCTCTTTTTGAACAATCTGTAAATCTACGCCATGGATTTGGTTGACATTACCTGTACTTCGGCACGTTTACTGTCAGCCGGCTCATAAGCCGCAGCAGGGAGACTCGGTAAATCGAGGTCACTCTGTTGAACATTACCAAGCCTCCCCTTTGATCACCCCTCAACCGTCACAGCTTCCTAGTTACCCGAACTCGCTACGGTTTTGGATGGCGAGTGGTGCGGAACGGTCTGGTGGCTTTTTGTTGGTTTGGCTTAGCCAAACTTGAAGATTGGGAGTGTGATTTCAGGAAAACTAGTAAAAAAGTAACAAAACGAAACCAGTGGTACTTCCCAGTTTCGAACCGGGGACCTTAATGCCGCGAAACTGGCTTATCAACCCCCCAAGGTAATAAGTTTTTTGCCTGGGTTCCCACTCGAGATGGCGATATAAGGGCATTCATTGAGGTTGTCTTGCCCGTTTCCGAAACATCTAACTTAAAACAGGTTGACGAGGTACCAAGTTATGTAATTCTTCAATCATTGCTGTTAGTATGTAAAGTCAAGGTTATAGATATGTGCATAATTACTTGTGAGGAAATGTTGCAGTTATGTCTCCCTATTTGGCAACTGTCTTGTTTTATTCCCAGCTGGTCGGCAGCCGCAATGGTCCCGATGCTATGAGAGTTCAACATTGGATTGCTAGAGACTTCATGTACTTATATACATCTTTCCGTACATGTACGAAATACATAGCGTGGCGAGCTGGGGAGATCCGAGACATGGCTTAGACATGGCTTGCGAGTGAGACAGTGCTTGGATCATGGATGTGCATGAAACGTGCCACCGGTACCCACCCCCGCAAACAGGCGCTCGAGTTAACCCGTAGCCCCGCATCAAAGGAAGGATGGAGTCATGAACCTCCCGTGATCCGCTCTCACCATTTCAGAGCGTCGCCCATTGCAAGATTTTAGGTAACAGCCAAATATTCGAGGCCTACTAGGCGCGCATGGCACCGGGGGAACCTTACCATTCCTCACCCTCAACCAGACTATTGGCGATCAACCCTCCGTTCCCGACTTCCTCACCCACACCGACTCCGGCTACCACTACCACAACCATCCTCCAAACAACCACACCCCCCGAAATCAAACCCAAAATGCCCTCCATCCGCGCCCCAGGTGGCGCCTCCCTTCCCTCAGCGACTCTGCTAGAAGTCTACGAATTTCTGCCTTACCTCCTCTATCCAACGAGCCTGCTCACTAGCACATGCTTTACTGCTGCCACAGAATCCGTCCCGCTAGCTAGCATAAATCCTCTCCTGCTCTGCTGATCTGGCT